CCTTCAAAAAGCACAAGTACATGAAAGGCGCTAGGGCTATGGCGCCAGAAGCGGATCGGAGTTCACCTGGTTAAAAGGTCGGCTTTCGGCAGAGGAAAGGAAAGGTAAACTCAGGAAGTTCCTGAGTGGATTGGGCAAAACATCCACACTCGTTGTTTGCCACTGGTCCCAAAAAAGTGACCCAGGCATGGCCTTTTTACCACACACGGTCCGGGATTTGCACCGGGAGCTAAATGACAGCTCGCATGCACCACCCACCCACCCAGCCGCACGTGTGCGCATGTAGATGCGGAGCCAACCACACTCCAGGGAAATCTCACCACCAGTCCACCCCACCACTCTCAAGCAATTGGGGGAAAGCCTGAAGCCAGTCGCCACTTTAACTTGCTGGTGCTCGGAATTCGGAATCTGGGAATGACCCCTATGCATCCCTTGCGGGTTCCTAGGGCATCTCCAGGTTCATTCCATTTCTCATTCCCTACCTATCGCAAGTGTTTCGCCTCAGGTGAACAAACCCCGAGCCACCAGCTTCACCATGTTCCGGGAGCGTTTCTGGCCCATCCACGTGGCGGCCGCCTGGGGCCAAGCCCGGGACGTACGTTTGCTGCTCAGCGCTGGGGCCGCGGCAGATCAGAAGACCAGCTTCGGGCGCAGGCCGGGTGGGGTGCTGGAAAACCCACATGGTGTGTGGCGCGTGTTTGTTTGTAGGGTTTCTCGTCTTCTTTTCGGTGCCTTTAAAGTGAAAAGTCAGAAACTATCATTTTCTGTGTATCCTGGATATGGGCCAAGCTTGGCGGTTGGTGGTCGGTGGTTGGTCCTTTCACTGGGCAAGGGAAAACCAAGAGAAGTTGGCATGGCAACCCAGGAAGAAACTCGCCTTGCGTATTTGTTTGTAGGTTTGACTGAAAGGGAGAGTCTTTATGGAAAACCCCCCCCTCCACCCTCCAAGAGAGAATGGCTGTGGCTCAAAATTGTGTGGTACCAAAATGGCACCTTGGTAAATGGAACCAAGGACTAAAACCGCGGTTTCCCCCAGCTCTTTACTTTTGAGCCATACCCATATGTCTTCGAACAGGGCCGCCCGTCTTGGAGCTGGTTCCAAGGGGAAAATTTCTCACGGCAGACGCCCGACGGAGCATTTGCTTCGAGAGAGCGACCTGCTGTGACAGGGGAAGCCCAGTTGGACCCTTCAACCTGTTTGGGGGGTTCCTTCAAAGGGGCCCCAAGCTGGTGTTCCTTTGAGGGGTTGCCTTGGGAACGAACTGGAGGGGATCTGGTTGAAATCCACAAGGATGATGAACATTGGTGGTGATTCCTCCCTTCCCAAGAACTGCATCTGTTGTCTCAATTTGACAGGAACATGCTTTTTTTTGCGGCCACTTTCTGTGAGATCAAAAGGAACCCCTTTCCAAGTGATCATGATAGTCGTAGGGATGGTACCTGTTTTCCCAAAAAGTTAAAGTCTAAGGATCCAACCCAATAGCAGTCAAGCAGAGGTCGCCTTCAAACAAATAGCTAAAAAGAGAAAAAGCTACGCCGCTTCCATTGATGGGTATGGGACAAGTAGGGTCCGCTGCATTTCGCCGCCTGCAACTGGAAACTGCTCCTGTTGGTTAGTTCCAAAAAGGAAAGTTTGCTGGACCCCGGTTAGAACCCAGCCCCAAACCCAACAGGACTTGAAGGAACCTTCAACATGTGAAAACTCATCCCGAAAATCAAAAGGTTTTCCACCAACCCCCCCCCCCCAAAAAATAAACTTTTTGCAGGGGGGTCAACAGCAACCAAGTCTGGGGGATTGCTCGTTTCTCCCTCAGATGAAAGGGCTTCGGCGGGGCAAGATTGATTGAGACAACCTGTGTTCGTTTTCTGAGAGTGGTAGAGGAAGCTGTGTCTTTGTCTTTGAAATCCTTTCGTTTTTCTTTGTGTTTTTTTCCTTTTTTTTTTTTTTTTGGGGGGGGGGGGTAATTTGTAGCATACAAGGTTGTTTACACACGACGGCTGCATGTTCCACTGTCAGCAACCCTCTTCCTCGCCGAACCATGACACAGGCAACATGCGGTTTGCGCCTTTTGGCTCGTGGGTTCATGTATGGATCTCCTTCACCCTGCCCCCCCCCCCACCCCCCAAAAAACACACACACACACACACACACACACACACACACACACACACACACACACACACACACACACACACACACACACACACACACACACACACACACACACACACACCGCAGCGCAGCAGCGTGCAGCGCATATGGCCCCTGTATGCCATGCCTTTTTGCCAGCGCACGCCACAGCGCAGCGCGCGCGCCCAGCGCTGCAGCATGCAGCGCTCATCACGCTGCCAGCCATCGCCAGCGCGCGCGCACGCCGCGCAGCATCACGCACGCAACGCCTGCATCTGCTTGCTGCAACGCTGTAGCATGCAGCGCTACCAGCCTCTGTATATGACATGCCAGCGCCGCAGCCTTCTGCGCTGCAACACGCCCAGCGCGCAGCGCTACCAACGCCGCAGCGCCAGCGCCGCAGCGCGCAGCGCTGCCAGCGCTGCCAGCGCCGCAGCGCTGCGGCGCAGCGCGCAGCATGCAGCATCGCAACCCCCTTAACAGCGCGCAGCGCCGCAGCGCTGCGCGCTGCGGCGCGCAGCGCCGCAGCGCTATCGCAGCGCGCGGCGCTTCGCGGCGCTAACAGCATCGCAACGCAGCGGCGTCGGCATGCCCAGCGCGCGCACGCGCTCCAGCGCCCAGCGCCGCAGCGCGCAGCACGCTGCGAAGGTGAGAATCACGCAGTGAATCGCCTGGGTCCTCCATTAGAGCCGCACCCGCACCCCGCACCACGCCGCAGCGCGCGCGCAGCGCCGCGCACCATGCACACACACGCTGCAGCACCCGCTGCGCCCTGCGCTCGCCTTCTTGCACTGCAACTGCCGCCCTGCAGCCTGCCAACCTGCGCCGCCTGCCAACCTGCAGCCTGCCAGCCTGTAACCCTGCCTTTGCAACCTGCAGCCTACGCCTGTACTGCCGCCTGCCTTCCTGCAACCTGCCTTCCCTCTGCTTCGCTGCCTGCTTCCTTTCACCTTTCACCTTTCACCTTCGCCTGCACCTTTCACCTTCTACTTGTACCTTTCGCAACCTGCAACCTGCCACTTTTCTTGCAACCTACTTGCAGCTGCCATGCCTTCCTGCAGCCTGTAACCTGGCAACCTGCACCTTCGCCTTCTGCTTCTGCAACCTGCCTTCCTGCTGCCTAGCAACCTACTTGTACCTTTGCTTCCTTCTGCGCCTACTGCTTTGCGCTACCTTTGCCTTTCTGTTATGTAATGTGTAATATCATATTGTCTGTATCATATTGCTTTATTATCTGTTATGTATCTTGATATCTGTTGACCACCTACCTTCTTCTTTATATACCTACTTCTTTTCACATTTACCTGCTGTACCTGCGAACACCTACAGCCCTGCAGCCACCTGCAACACCTGCATGCACATGCTATGCAAGCATCACCTTCTATATCTTTGTATGTAACAACCTGCTGCCGCCTACTGCGCTAGCCTACGGCAGCTATGCCTTTTCATATCGCCTGTAATAACGCCTACTTGTATGTATGTATGTATAGCATCATAATAATATCATCGCAATATATACCACCATAACATTACCTACCTTTACCTACTTGTACCACCTGCACCTTTACCACGTACACACCAGCCTGTATGCGCCTGCCTTAACGATCTGCATCAACCTACATGTGCATCGCATAGCATGTATGCCTTCTACCTGCGTAACAATGCATCTTGTCACCACCATGGCCTCACGTACCACCACCACCACCATTTCACAGCACACCTTACTATGACACCACCAAACACCACAGCCTTACCACCTACCTTCACGCCTGTACCATGTTACATACATACCACCATAACACACCTGTTACCTACTGACATACCACCTGCATGCACTGGCACACCTTTGCCACCACCATGCCCCTACCTTCCACCTGCCTTGCCTGCCTTCCTAGCAACACCTGCCTTACCTACCTTCCTACGCCACCTGCAACACCTGCTGTACCTGCCTTCCTACTTGTACCTACGCTTTACCTATACCTACATACCCTAGCACAACACCGCCTTGCCCCCTTCCTGCTTGCCTTTACATACCACAAAGCACCTGCATACCTGCCAGCACCTGCCCTTACCACTGCTTCCTGTAACACCTGCTGGCCTTCTTAACACCTGCCTTTCTGCTTTGCACATGCAACACACTGCCTTTCTGTAACACACCACCTTTACCTGGTTTGCCCGCACACTTTTCCTGCCTTTTTACCTTTTCACCCACAACATACACACGCACACGCACACGCACACACGCACACACGCACACACCGCACACCTGCACACACCGCACACACCGCACACACGCACACGCACACACGCACACGCACACGCACACGCACACGCACACGCACACGCACACGCACACGCACACGCACACGCACACGCACACGCACACGCACACGCACACGCACACGCACACGCACACACACACACACACACACACAAAAAAAAACAAAAACAAAACAAAGAACAAGAATAGCTCATGGCGGTTGCCCGGTTTGGCCTTTTGAAAGAGAGTGGAGCGTGTCTTGAAACATCCAAGTGGGTGCCCTTTTCAGACTTGTTTATCACGAACTTCTGCAGGTTGGAGTATTTGTTTTGATCATGACCCACTTGGATTATACGACACTTGGACTATGTAGCACCACCAGAGAAGAGGCATTTCCAACATATTCCAGCTGTGAAGATTTGCATTCCCTAAACTGTGCACATATTCCATGCTGCGCGCGAAAATGTTCGACAGGAAACTCCCATCAATTTTGGGGTCTTCTCCGTTTGACGCACCCGACGGGGACCCGACGTGATCAGGCCCGTGGACATAGCATTGGAGGCCAACCAGCAGGGCTCTCACGCGCCCTGGCCGGCAGCCATGGTTTAACCATCACCTTCCAGGATTCCAGGGCTCCATTTTTGGGTTGCAAGGAAGACTAAACAAATCAGGGGTTCGGGGGAAATGGCCATGGTTCAAAACCAATGGTACCATTTTGGGATAGGTGCACCACGCATTTCAGTCTATTTTAGTGGGGATTGGGATGTTCACTGGGGGTACGGGGTTTTGGCCCATGGCCAAATGAACCATTCTGGGTTTAAGTCAAAAGTGGAGCTTGAACCACCTGTGTTGCCAATATACTCTATTAGAGGAAACTGGTCCCAGATGAACCTGAAAACTCTGCCCCCCCGGCTTAGCGGTAGGCGATCCATTTTCTTTGCGAGACAAAACATGCTTAGTGGTGGCTGATCCATGTTTGTCCAAGGGACTTCCGGCACTGCCGGCACTGGAGTTTTGGCTTCGGCATGTAACATTCATGTCCAGCCACTCACCAACAAACCAAATTTGGCTGCATGTTGGTCGGATCTTTCTGTGCTGTTCAAAGGCAATCCTCAATCCTTCCCTTGGGTTGCGTAAGGCATTCTCTTGGTACTGTTTTTCTTCTAGGGATTCAGGATTAAGAATGGCCTCCAAACCAGTTGAGTCACCATCAAAACCCGGGTAGATGAAGGGTGAGTAAGACCGTCCAACCAGAAATCGGCGAAACCCGCCCTTTTGGGTTTTTGCATGGTTTTGGGCAGATTCTTTGAGAACCAGGTTTTGATTGTGACTGGTGCGTGTCGCCATGCTTGGCCTCGAGTGAGCTTCATTTGGGCAGGTTGGGACATCACATGTATAACGTAGACATGAGAAAAGGTTCTGTGGGTACTGAAAAGCCTGATCATGGAAGCAACACGTGAGCCTTTTATGGAGAGCTCGCCTGGGTAAACAGGTCAAAGGTAGGGGTCCTTTCTCTGGGATCCATGTTTGAATTTCCGGTTCTGGAGTCATTCCAAGATTTGCAGGTCATATTGGTTCTGGAACGCCGTGTTTGTCACCCTTGTGGCCCTCTTCATGTATTTTCAGGAAGCCCAAGCACGTCGGTCTGGGCATTTGACCCAAGTTCCTGTAGAACTTACCCTTCCCGACTGTGGATGGTTGCAAGTCATCCATTTCGCACCACGAAATCAAGCCATGGCTGAAACCACAAGGGAATCAGCCGAAACCAGGGTTTCCGAACGGTGGTGCGAAATAGATTTCGCAACCATCCACAGAAGGGTCCATGGGGCTGGGGAGTGAAACCCATCTTGACCCAGCGGCTTATTTATCCTTTTCCGCCACCCCAGGCCTTATCCATGAGTTCTATCGACCGAGGATGAGGTCCTGGAAATTTTACAAGGCGACGTGAAGCTACTTGCTATGCGAGAGTTCTGGACTTTGGTCCAGAAGTGAAAGAATCTGCGGCAGAGATTTGAATGTTTCTGAAAATGGCCCACCCCCTTTTGGTTGGATTTTGAAGAGAAAGCAAAGGGACACCATCCATTTCAGACGACTATTATTTTGAGAAGGTCGTTTCACCAGCTAGCTGGCTTTGCTTGAAATGGTATCCTCAAAAACGGGAGCATGATCTCCCCTGAGACAGAACGGATTCATGGACCTCTATGGGTCCCCAAAAGGATGTCAGTTTTCAGCTTTCCGCTTGGTTTCCCAACATATCAATCTAGGGTTTGGCAGGCTTCTTTTGGAATTCTCATAAACTACCAACCAAAAGAGGGACTGCACAATTTGCAACCAAGCAGGTTGGCCAAAACCCGAAATCGGGTGGGCCGAGAGCGGAATCGTCCATGCCACGAAGTTTGGAATGTCTTTCGCAGAGTTCATGTGAGCAATCCGTCCATGGGCAAAAATACAATCAGTGGACCGGAGCAGAGATGTAATTGGAACTTGCGACCGATTTTCACCTATGGCTCCACAGAAGTCTTGACCTCATTATATATATATACATATTTCTTTCGCAGATTCATTGTCCTGCGCGAGATTTGACACGTCGCTGTTTCCATTTTCGATTTTTTCTTGACGTATCGTTGAAGGTTCCATGAGCCAGACTCAAGTGTATCACCGGAGCGATGGTGGCCATCGGCTCGTTTTTGTCGTTTCCTCGGCACCTGGGTTGTTGGACGACATCCCCCATGGACCAGTCCGACAGCTGTCTCCTGAGGAAGTAGCTGCGAGTTGGTGACGTGCACCACAGATTCAACTTGGTCGTCCGGATGAATCCGAAGTTGATGTTCTGGATCTCTGATGGAGTTTTCATTTTCAGGTTCACTTGGCGGCAATCTGGATTGGGAAGCTACAGCAAGAGCAGCGTCCAAAGCAATCATCGCGATCGCCTCCAAACTAGTTTCCTTTTTTGAATAACGCTGAATATGGGGGTGTCGTTTCTTAAGTTGGAGCAGGTGAGGACTAGGATCACTCTTGACATGAATGTTCAATTCTAGGGTGGACTAAACATGGAGCATCATCTATTCTTTGGGTTGGGGGGCAAAAGCAGAGGTAGATCTGATCGGGGATTCCATGATCTTGGATAGGGGATACCAAATTTGTCACTTTTCGGCAATTGGGGTGCCAGGACAGTAGGGGAGGGGGTTTGTCAGCAAACCTCCAAGGGGTTTGAATCGCTTCGCGCTGCCCGCCTCGGCCAGAGCCTGTTCAACTTAAAGGCTTCCTTTGAGCTCCTTTCTTACTCCGGGGCCATGCGTGGGGAAGCTGGGCAACTGGCAAACAACGCAAACGTGCCTATGCGTGAAAGTATCCGCTTGGCACCGGACAGCCACAGCCATAGTCCAAGGGCATGGGAGTGCTAGCTCACTTGCCGGGGTAGCCAGTGCTACAGCCGTAAGGACAAGGGGCCGGGGTTTGCCCATGCGACGCGAGTTGTGGGGGTGGGGGTTTGGGGGTTGTTGGGTGCTTCCAACCATTCTGGCCCTTTTTTGCCCTTACAAGTTACCCCCCAGGGACTTCGCAAGAGTCATTTTGCAGGGAACATGAATCTGGAGTCACAAGGCTCGCACCCCAGGGGTGGGCCGTAGTCCTTGGTAGTCTCGGCTTTTTCTTGAGATTGGCTCTGCTGATTACCCCTAACCATTGCAGGATTCTTTGCGTGGCTTAGGGCCATGACCTCACCATGGATATGACTTTGGCGCCTCTCGGAGCTCGGGCCTCCAAAGCTGTTTTCTCATTTTCAGGTTGACTGCGCATAGCACATCTGATCATATTATGTTCTGCGTACAGACTTGGGCGAATAGGACGCTTCACATGACCAACTCATTTGATTTCACAAGACTGTCGTAAGGCCTACTTTTCTGGGTGCACGACCAACTTTCTCTTCCGTGGTGCGCAACCCATGTGCTGCGCTATTGGATGCCTGGAGGGCTCGCAAGCGGCAAGAAGTGCACCCGGAAGGATTGCAGAACGAAGATTCTTTTTTGCTTGCGTGTTTTTGGTGAGATCCTCAGATTGCAGCTGTGAGATTCTTTTTAGCAGTTTGGCGGCTTCCTCAGATTCCGGCCGTGAGACTCTTTGGTTTGACTGTTTTGCTGGATTCCTGATTCCAGCAGCATGATTGTTGTTTGTGTGTTTTAGTGGGTTCCGCAGATTTCAGCTCTGAGATGCGTATTTTCCAGTGTTTTTGGTGGCTTCCTCAAATTCCAGTTCTGAAGTTCTCTTTCGCGTGGGTTCCTCAGATTCCAGCCGCGAGAATTTTCTTTGGCTTGAGTGCTTTTGGTGGGCAACACACAAAGGGGCTCAACTTTTTCTGTTTCGGGCAGTCTCTGGACAACCTAGGACCTCGGTCAGTGTTGTGACGGGTGACGTGACAGAAAAAGAATCTTCGAACAGTGGGGCAGATGCAAATGCCTTTGTGCATTTGTGAGGACCACTTGGAGACTCCAAGTGCGACCACAACATGTGCCAACAGCGGCACACGTCGTAGGGCGGTGGAGGTATGTGATTTCGCTTTTCGCAAAAGGGAGCTATTCTTCTGTGTGAAACATTCGCGCTTTTGTTTTGCCGGTGCCCCCTTTTCCCGAGGTCCAGATCCCGATTTGGACATACCCCACCTCAGTTTTGTGGCTCGGGCTTGGCTTCTTTCCGGCGCCGTGCCGGCTCGCGAGCCTCTAGCCTTGAGCACGCGCGGATGCCACCCGTCGCAGGGAAGTGTCGGGATTTGGAGCGACTCACCAGGACTTTGAGCGACTCAGGTGAAGTTCTGTGGTTGGCTGGTCGTGTTTTTGGATTCTCTTTGCAAACCGAACTTTGCGTGCTCCAATCTATTTTGCAAGCTCTGCCACGAATCTTGGGCCTCATTGCCATCGCTTTTTGGAGGCCTTCCATTGACATCAAGAAGAAGCTTACTTTGAAAAGGCCTTTTCAAAAGGTGAGAGTGGTAACCCTGGATACATTCACCGCTTGATTCTTCCTGTGGCGTCCCAAAGAGAAAGGGGATCGTTCACTCAGAGGCTCTTCGAAGACTTTAACCCTCGCGAGAGTTGATTTAATTCGGGGTCAATACTGACTGTGGATGGACGAGTCATCCATCTCGCAGCACCAAATGGAACCATGGTTGACACCGTTTGTGGCGTGGTATTTCCAGGGAAATCATCAAACACCCCACAGCATGCTATGTTTTGCCTTTTGCTTGCTCCAGAAGTAGTTGTTCAGCAACAACCCACTTTTCCATCTTTGCTGTGGTTTCCAACCACTCAAATGGTCACCCCCAAGCCGAATTTTGCCAGGGTCACGGAGCGACATACCACCAAGCAGTGGGGTGGGAGTAGCAGAGAGCATAGGTGTCCTTTTCGGTGAGCCTGGTTGAAAATAGATGGGTTCTGGTTTGGATGGGTTTTGTTCCATTTGCCAGGGACACCCATCCATTTCTCCAAGAGGCCACCTATGCTGGACGCGTTTTTTTTTGGTAGCATATTTTTTTGGTAGCCTAGGTCCCCCAGTAGTGCCATTTCTTTTACCAGCTTTTTTGGGGGAGGGTTCCCCTACTAAAATAGACTAGAGAA